GTACTGGCAGGGAAGGGTCACCTGCCCAGACCAACCCAGAAAGCCTGTAAGATACGGGCTTGTGTCCTTACCGTTACTCTCACTCCCAGTCACGCTTAAAATGAGCGCTCATTTCCTTGCTGGATGCTTCAGCACAGGGGTCGGTAACTAAATGGGCCTTGGAAACGGAAGTTTCTTGCCTCAGAGGTGTGCTTACTAAAAGCTGGGTTATTGGTATTGTTTCACCAATCTATGCAGTTCTGGATCTTGAATTAAATAAAGAATTCTGGTTTCCTGGTGCCAGTGGCTGTTTCACCAGCACTGAAATCCTTCTTTAATTAAAGAGCCTAACACATTCTAATCACGTGGCCTTTTGCAAACATGTTATATCATAGGAAGAGATACACATCTCATGGGTATAACAGCACTTTAAAAGCTTGTCCGAGTTTACATGTCGAGCATGGACTTTGACCGGTGTTGCAGTGCGTGTTCCTGTTGCAGTAAAACGAGTGGTGGTAGCAAAGGTTCCCAAAAGTCTGACTTACCAATGTAATCCAGTGGCATAGCGTTCTGGTTGTGTATCATCAGTACAGGTCAGCTGGTATAACGTATCTCCCTAAACACATGCCCCGAATTGCAAAAATTGTTGATGCACCAATAAACGTGACTGATGCATGCATACTTGTTTAGTGTAGTCTGTGCCTCGGTTCTTGAATTTCAGGTTTGTGCTCTATCCACTGCTGTTCGCCGGCGCGTTTTCTGGGTCTTCACATCTATGCAATGCAGCCTTTGAGCAGTTTGCATCAGCTTTCCCTCTGTCTCATTCCCTTTGTTTCTTGACTCTAAGAGACAGTCACGGCCGGAGAGGGACGCAGCCTCACAACCCGTTCGGGAAGAAGCTTCTTCACTTTCAACTTGTTCAATAATAACTTCTTTTTAATAGTAAAATATTTCCCCTGTGTAACTAGAGCCAGGTATAAAGAGGAACAACTGTAAAGAGAGTTTTACATACCTCCAGAATCTTTTATGTATTTAAATATATAAATCATTAAGCAGACAGACTTTAGGAAGATTTGGGTTCAGC